GGAAGGAAGGAAGGAAGGAAGGAAGGAAGGAAGGAAGGAAGGAAGGAGGGAGGGAAGAAAGGAGGGAGGGAAGAAAGGAAGGAAGGAAAGAAAAAAAGAAAAAGAAAAAATAAAGAAAGAGAAAGAAAGAAAAAAGGAAGGAAGGAAGGAAGGAAGGAAAGAAAGAAAGAAAGAAAGAAAGAAAGAAAGAAAGAAAGAAAGAAAGAAAGAAAGAAAGAATAGAAATCATATTCTGCATCTCTGTAAACTGAGCTGCGCTCTGTGCTCAGAGGAAGAAGCAGCTTATGATTCAGCCCCTGTGACAAGAACAATGTGGAGTCATGTTTCCCTCAGCCTTCACAAGAAGAAGAGGTGGCCCTACCCAAAGCACATATGAATGTCATTCTGGAGAAAGCTTGTTCCAATGGCCACATAAATGCACTGGTTGATTAATTTTAACTCTAATTGGCAGCTCATTAGCATATGTAAAAAATAGCTAGCATTTCCTCCTATAAAATACACAAACCACTTCTCTGTTGAAGTAATCAGAATAGTCCACCAAGACTTTCTGGGTCTTTAATTTAGCAAAGTCATACAAACAGGTTAAAGTTATATAATTCTACAAGTAAGAATACACACTGCTTTCCTCTTACGTCACGAAGTTGAGTTTAAAAGAAGCTATCAATTGTTTTTATTTTATGCAGAAACAAGTTGTGACGAAGAGCTTTGGGGACATTCCCAAGGAAACAAATTAAAACAGACAGATAGATAAGATAGGAGAGAAGGGGACCTGAAAAGGAAAAGGAAAAGAAAAAGAAAAAAGAAGGGAAGGAGAAGAACAGGGAAGGAAGAGAACAGGGAAGGAAGAGAAGAGGAACGAGAGGAGGTTTGGCAGCGGCATGTGACTCTCCGGGTGTGCCCAGCCTGGGGTACTTTCCCTCATCTGAACCACTTTTCTATTAATCTTAAATTTTAGTCACCCAGAACAAGCATTTGTAAAAGCTGTTTTGTGGAAGTTAAAACAGGTGTCCCTTAGTGCTGATGGAGCCCATGAGCTTTTAATAATTATGAGAAACCACAAATGCATTATGTGTGTGTGTATGTGTGTGTGTGTTTAAATAGCGCTCTCCTTTATATTCTCCAAAAAGAAAGATGGTACTAAATTTGCAGGAAACAATTTGTCTAAGGTCATTGCCTAAAGCACACTGTGAATTTCTAAGCGCCTCTTTGGGGCTCTACATC